CTTTATATTAGAACGATTTCTTAAGAGGTCTTAAGAGTACACGAAATCAATATTTTTTCAAATAATCATTTATTACTCTTTCTGTATGGATTATTTTAACTTATGTATATTAACTTTCTCTTCCAACCTATTTGAATGCGTGAGGTTGAGGTTTTGACATTAAAGTACATACGAGTATAAGTATTTTTTCTACTATATTACTGTTAGTAGTGAGCAGCACAGGATCGGATAACTCTTTGAAAAGCTGTAAACTTTTTTAATTTCCTATGCGTTTCGTCTCTTAAAGTGCAACTGAACCCTACTAGAAAATCATTTAAAAAAAAGGCAAATATGATGCTAATCATTGTCTTGAAGAAACAAAAATTGTTTGAATTATATTTTCTGAGTTAAAGACATTTGAAAATTGAAAATGCTAATGAAGTGACGTCAATCAAGGAATTGTTCTGGAGGTTTTTCATTGTTTGCGATATCTTGTGTTCGGTTGAAATGGTTAAATCATCAATAACAGTAATATTCAAGAACTGGAAATCATTCCTTAGTAGACGTCACTTAATTTGAATTTCCGATTTTCAAATATTTCTAAATCGGAAKATATAAATTTGAATGTTTTTTCCCTTTGCAGAAAGTGCTTAGCATGTTCTCTTTCGAATAAATGACTTTCTAGTAGTGTCCAGTTGCACTTTAACGGGAACTTCTTAAGGGAATTCATGTTCAACAACTATAAATGAAACCTCCATGGGGAAGTGACTAAAAGCTTATATACATATGCTGGTTTGGGACGTGAATAACAACGGCGTGTTATTGTGATTTTGTAAATAGTTAAATTGGGTACCATGCGATTCATTCAATATAAAGCATTTAGTAAATCGTATATATTACTGGTCTATCATCATTTCTCTTCGCTCCAGGAGGCACGTTAAGGACTTCACTCTATTTTTCCACCCAGCTCTGTCCCTTGTTTTGGTTTCATCCCAGCTCCTCCACCCTTCCCTGTTCCGCTCTTTTAGTACTGTACTCCTCCATGTTATCTTTTTTCTCCCCTTTTCCATGCTTCCCTCGGGTGTCCACTCCAAGCCTGTCAAACAGTCATTTTCTCGCTTTCCCCTAAGTATATGCCCAATCCAATTCCATCTTCTTCCGCGTGTTTCAAATACTGATGTTCTCAACTTCTGCCCATCTCATTTGAAATCTTCTTCCACCATTTAATTCTCAGGATATATCTAAGACATTTACTTTGAAAGGTATTCAGTTTTCCTTTTTTTTCTTTGATTAATTTCCAAGTTTCGCAAACGTATAACAAAACAGGTTCAACGAGTCAAACATCTTTAATTTCCGTCTTCCTTCCAATTCCTCTCACTAATCAGACAACCCTATTTAAACACCACGRGCTTTCTGAATTCGATTGRCAATGTCCTTATMTACACCTCCTTCTGTGTCTACTATTGCTGCTTAGTATATAGGATCAGTATCCTCAACCTGGTCTATATAAAAAATTTATTCCCTGAAGAGGTCTACGTTAAGAGACGAAAAGCGTAGGAAATAAAGTTATAGTGCTGCTCCCTAGTCATAGTTAAAAAATAATAATAATAATAATTTTCCAATATTTGAATCATTTTGTTGAGGGGGGTCCTGAATTTTTCCCATCAGTGGGGAAGGGGGGTCCCGAACAAAAATGCTCTTAGGGGGGGTTCTGGAAATTTTTGTCCTTCAGCCCTTTTTAACCCTCAACCCCCACCCCCGAATTAAATACTGACCGGTCCCTAACTTGCATAAATTACAATGGCGAATATATCATAGTGTAGATAAATGACCTCGAGATTGGTTTCAAGAAAATTGCTTGAAAAATATATGATTCGAACATCAAATATATAAGCGATTTGGCATTTTGCAGCTGATGATCCACCCAAYTGAATGTGCACTGCTTTTGACAGGAGAGTTTTTTCTACTACTTTTTACTACTTTAGTAAAAAAAAACGCAGTTTAGCTCTTAATATTCGAGAMAAAAAGAGAATTTCCGTATGGATTCACATCCAAAGGATTTAATTAACTTGTGTGTAAAAAGTAAAAGATTAGCAACTGACCATGAGGTGATTTAGTGTTAGTTTCGTCATAGCAAAAAGAAATTCCCGGAACTTGATACYAGCTCGATTTCTGAGAATCGAGAAGTGTTTGCTGATTCCCCGAAGCTCAAGTTTTGYATTCTGAGTTCCCGGAATTAATGACGAAGTCTGATATTTCATATAAAATTGGAGTCAATCGATCTCCTCTGTATAAAGTTGAAAATATATATTACGTAGTTGTTAAATAAAATGACGATTTCATTAAAAGGGCGCTTGAGTAGGGAAAAAACTACGAATGCGTCCRAAGCGTAAAAGTATTGTAKCGGTTGTATTTTTTTAAAAACCTCATTATTTTCTTTGATTTTCAAGTTGAACCCGCATTGTAGCAATATATCATCCATCATTTTCAAGCAAAGCTAGAACACCCAGCTGTGTTCGCGCCCGCCTATAGCTAGTCTTATAATATTTACCGATATTTAGATTTGACGCAAAGTTCTATTAACTTACCCTGAGACAAACAGCCTTTTATGTTGACACAAAACAGAACCATCCCAAACATAACCAAGTGCATGCATCATCATAACGACCATATGGGCTCTACTTTTGTCCTTGTTTTGCTTGGCTTAGGATAACGTTAAGACTGTTTCAGTACCGCTACGTTATTCGAATAGGACCGTGAACGGAGCTGAATTGTGGAATACTATCTGCGATTGACCTTTTTAGTCAGTAATCGCGCCACACCTGAGAGGCTCGCAATGATTTGATAGTTAATGCAGCCCAGATGAATGATTGGCTGAACGGTAAGTGGTTGTGCGTCTTTGCTATGTAATGAAATATTTCAGTGTCACTAGGGAGGAGTAGGTAGAAGGAAGGGGGCATACTTCCAAACATTTGCTGAATACTACCCAGAGGCGTAACAAGAAAGAAATTTAAGGGACCAAACAGAGTAAAAAGGTTAAAAAATCATATATTTCCATTTTTTCTCTAATTTTTTTTTACATTTTCCAAAATGCCTCTCTTGCCTCCCTCTTCTTACAGTTGTGATACTGCCTGTCACACTGTCAGATCAGGAAAAGGACAAAAAGGACTCCCCAAACGGAACAAGACACTGAATAAAGTTGYTTACAAATTTAGTGAATTAATGTAGAACATAACTCCAGAAGATAACAAAAGTATTTGTACAAAGCCTTTTATATGTAGTTACTATAGGCGGTCATGGAAATTTATCAGGGGGGTGTTTCAGGAAGAAATCACAGAATCAGATACAAATTGTAAGTAATTTTATMATTGTAATCTATTCCTTCTTAGAATAGACATATGACAAGCTATTGTATTAAGATAAATACTTCTGATGCTACTCATAATAAGTTCAGTATTGGCTCGAAAAACGTTTTATTTGCGGCGTTAATAAGGATTTGTGTGTTCGGTATTCCATTTGKCAACCACCTCCGCCTATAGTAGCAGTGGTAATTTTAACGCGGGAAAACATAAAAATAGCTTAATAAGAAAACCAGTCACTAAAGATGTTCAATAGCAGACTACTGGGAGATTTGAAAAGTACAATTTATATATGTCTGTCCAATGTTTATGCATAGTCTGAGGTTAAGGTCATAGTGCGCTGTTGTTTAAACAGCTAGCTGAAATATCTTATGAATTTCTTGGAATTCTATACAATTGTACGTGCTTAACGTGCACAGATACTAAGAACAATTTTGGTCGATTTATAATGAATGAAAATATGCTGTAACTAGTTCACTAGAGTCATCACACTTGTACCGTGGAACATAATCAAAGAAGTAGTAACTATTAGTTTTTATTTACTGACTCTTTGTATGAAATAGTGGATATCACTGAACCAAAACAATTCTTAAAAACAAAAGGTAATACACAAGAAACTTGGAAGCCAAACAATGTTATTAAAAGCTCTTTATTTTGATCATATTTCACGGTACAAGTGTGATGACTCTATTGTTCGTTAGATTTTGTTTAGTTTTTGTTACTAAGTTTTACTTACTCGCGCTGTAGAAAGTGCTTGATTGTCACTATAGTGACTCCTTTGAGACTGTGGACACTTGTGTTTACCAGAAACTCGCATGACATGAATGACATTAACTTGATTTTAATTAATTAACACAATTGAAATTGTACTGTACTAATTAATGGTCTATTGATAACTCGGACTCATTCAAAGTGGAGTGAAGGGTCTAAAATTATTTACAATATTAGAGAATAATCACTTCTTAATAATTTACTTCGTCAACGCTATCTCCTTGAAACATCACTTGGATACTAAAGTATTTTTTTCATATTTATCAAGGATATAAAAATGTCATTTTAGTGTGATAAACGTCTATGATAGCAATGATTCCTTTTTAATTTATCATGTTTTTTATCATTATTATTATTTTTTTATAAATTAGCGAATACGTTTTTTTTATTTTACACTCTTAAAATCACTGCATCTTCTTATGTTGGTTGCCCTGTGGAAGGGTTATCCGGGTAGCCTGTGTCGAGCAGCCTGGCTCGCAAAGCATGATGGTTAGAGACTTGCAAAATTTACATTTCTCTCTGTGTCTGTTCGTAAATAGAATTGTCGTAATGGTTGATACGTTGGACTGAAATCACATTTGATAACTTAGTACCATGGCTATTACTGCCATTAAGTGGTTATTTCTCCTTGTAGTTATCCTCTGTCTAAAAGGTAAGTAATTCGACGAATATCTTAAGTTAATGCTGTACAAATTCGAACTTTTTCTTTCGCTTTTTGTTACCGCCAAAACAGGAACAAGTGTAAAGGTTAAAATGCAATTAATTCATATTTTAAGCTTTTGCAAACGCTTCAGATCGAAAAGCTCTGATATGGTGGATAATATAGCACAGACAGTATTCAAATCCCGTACTCTACTCTACGGTTTTCAATCGTTTGAACTTGCTCTTTTCTTTGGTAACAGTAGCTTACTCCTTATTGTGAAAACATTGTACTTAGACAAAGTAACATCTACTACGTGGTAATTACTACTGTATGCTTGTTGTTCGAGTTGTTGAGTTTGAGATCTTTGAGTAGTTTGAACATAAGTGTGACGGGATCAACTCATGCCATGAATCGTAAACAAAGTCATTTGCGCGAAGGGCCACTATTGTTAGCGTAAATTCTTAGCATTTTGAACGTGTCCTATCGCTTTCAGTGTAAAATTTTGTGGCATATAAACATTGGCATATATTTGTTAGCACTTAAAAATTAATATCGGATGTAAAAAGAAATCAATTTTAATTAATCAAATATGGAAGCTGCCTCTATGGAAATCACTCCCATCCCCTACCCCCTTGTCACACATGACACAGATTTATTATAGAATCATTGAAAATAATTTGACAATGCAAATGTATTTCGGTGGTACAAAGCACCAAATAAAATCTTCTGTCTGTCTGTCATATAATAGCAATTAACAAGTCTCAATTTATAATAAGTTTGTGACGATGTTGTCATATACCAATCGTTTGCCTTTTTGTAATTTGTAATCTCGTCTATTAAGGAGTGTTAAGTGACAAGACGTGAAATTGATTAAAATAAAATCAATCATCTAATTAGAAGATGTGGTTTTTGATCNCGGAAATTATGAAAATGACCCCTAAGAGGGACCTGTATTTGGAGATGATGGGCGTGGCAGTGCTGAAATTTCACCCATAAAAGGGACCAATCAATAACAGGTCATTTTGTTTTGGTTTCCCCATTTTATTTGTGTTTTTTTCACAAACATCAAACACCATCGGCTCATATTCAGTTTGTGACGATGTTGTCATATACCAATCGTTTGCCTTTTTGTAATTTGTAATCTCGTCTATTAAGGAGTGTTAAGTGACAAGACGTGAAATTGATTAAAATAAAATCAATCATCTAATTAGAAGATGTGGTTTTTGATCTCATAATGACGGTTTAGGGACGTCATATACCCTAAAAGGGACCACAGATTTCAGTTGGTKGGAATTCTTGTCATTATCACCCTAAGCGGGACCAAAATACCGATTTCAAACCCTAAAAGGGACGCCGAGGACCCCCGCCCTTTGATATTAGGGAGTACCCCCTCGGGTATATTATATATGCATGTGCAAACTTATACAATTTATTTTTCATATAATTGGCATTAATATACTCAAACAGCTTTATTCGAATACAGTAAACAAAATAGATCATTTTCAATATTCTGTTTTGGTCATGCTCAAAAGATCTAAGACAAGGTTCAATGAAACCAAAAAAAATTATCTATAATTGTTTTCCCTAGGCCTTCCTTCCAATAGTTTCCTTTACAGTTCCATGCCTCAATCTTGAGGTAACCTGTGTGTTTGCATGACAAAACCATTATCCATGCAATGTTAAGATGTGATCATGATATGGTTGCTATCATTAGAAGCTCACTGCTTGTGTAACAATTGTCATGTGGAACTATGAAGGAAACTAATTTTGTGTGTTGTTTATCTGTCTATTATAATATAGCTCTGATCAATGGCTTGAAAAGTGCCTATAGATAATCCTGTATCGTTAGATGTTAAATTCTGGATTATGTCTTCAAGTTGAAATCTGTTTTTATGCMAATTAAATAGAAAAAGTAAATTATCTTACAGGGTAATGAGTAGAAAAAAAAGGAGATAGCTGTTCTAGCAAAATAGGGGTACTAAAGTGATGACATTACACAACGAAAATGTTTGAGTTTTCAAATTTGCCCTCCATATTCTGAACGTGCATCATTGAAGCAACCTTCCAAAATATGAGTGTCTTAGTGTCATTTATAGTGGAGATACAATCGATTTTATGGTTAGCTGACCACACACAAATGTTTGTAAATTTGGTCTTGTTCCTTTCATCATGAACAATATGAAATTTACAAGTGTTTGTATGTGGTCACTCAACCATAAAATGGCTTGTATATCTCTGCTATAAATGGCACTAGGACACAGAAATTTGGTAYATAGCTACTTTTTTCCATGCGCTTTAAAGGCCCGTTTACACTTGTGATTTTTTCAATGGTGATTCTCGCAGCGATCATCGAGCRACCATCACCTGAGTTTCGAATAAGCTTGGAAATTGGCTGCAATTTTGAGGCGATTTTCCATCTCCGCAACAATCGTAAGGCTGTTTAAACTTACGTTTTTAGCTGTGCTATAGCAAAGTGGCGATTATCACGCTGCAAAATCTGTAAACGGGCCTTAAGGATATTTCAACGAATGCGGACAATTCGAAAAAAGTATTTTTGCGACGTCACACTTTAGTACTCTATTAGCCAGGTGTTTAACAAATGTCTGTGTTAATTTAAGAAAAAAATTAAAATAATTTCACCAAGTAACCTGTGATTAACTAAGCAACAAGCAGAAATCACCATCTTGTTGCTGTTATTGAGAACCCTGATCTTAAATGTTGTCAATTTTTATTTTCAGTTACATTGTCTACAACCACAGTTAAAGCATCTACAAAAACCTCAACAACAGCAGTTACAAACAAGTCAACTAAACCTATATCAACAACACCAACACCGACATTAAACTCCTCAAATGACACTCAGGATGACAGAGGATCAAATGTCAATGATCAACAAATTGTACCATCCCATAAAGATAATAAGGGACTTTTAAAGCGTATGCTCTATGTGGTAAGATTGAAAATGTTCAGATAGATAGATGAGAAAATAAAATAACTAAGGGGGGACTAAAATATATTAATATTGCAGTCCTCCTCCTTTTATAATGCCTCACATGAGATTATATCTCCTTAATTCAAGATTTTGTTTTTGAAAGGGGGGCTGTTATAATGTAAAACCATATGTGAAGCCAGAAGATTGAATATTCATTTCTTATTAACATGCCCCAGTTACTATGAAGACAGATTAAGTATATTTTTTAAAGAATCAAATCAGTGTAAAATACTGTTTTCTCAGCAAAAAATGAAATTAGAAATTTTTGATAATAATAAACCCTTCAAAATCCTTACAAAAAGTGGCGTATATTAGCAAAGTTTGTCCAGGAAAATATTGAATTTAAGGAAATAAACTGCTAATAAACTAATTAATATCTATCTATTAATAAACTCTCCTGATAGTCATCAAATTATCTTATTACTAATCAAGTTACTTTAATTGACAGGCAATTGGATTCAGTGTAATTGTAGCTCTGTACTTTATTGTAAAAACAATCAGGACAAAAGCAAGGAAAAGTAAATCAAAGAAGTAAGTTTAATCATTACAGTATATTAATTGCAGAGAAAGAGATGTTTAACGAATACGAAACACGTAAAAAGACAACATAGTTCATTGACGACTGTTATGCGTACACGAACCTTGCGGCGCTCTCTTGAGGTAATTGAGACTTCATTCTTTTTCGAAATTGAAGGAACTGAACCAGGCACAAGCCTTCTCACAGCCTCTTCCAGGTGCACCTGTCTTGTAAAACACAGGGTCCGTGCAGGTCCTTAAATCCTTGAAAAGTGCTTGAATTGAAAACYCGTTTTCAAGGGCACTTGAAACTCCTTGAAAATTTGAAAATTTCAAAAAAGGCCTTGAAAACTCCTTGAAAAAGATAGGTCTCTATCACGAAGCGCTAGCAATCTCAGAATTATTCCGTTCGGCTRAAGTTGTGAGGTAAGAATGTACAATTAGCATGATTATGATGTTCCTTGAAAATACAATTTTGGTCCTTGAAAGGTCCTTGAAAAGTCCTTCTCATACTCATTAATTATTCATGAGGTATCCAGCCAATCCCTGWTTGTAATTTKTACCACGTGAAGTAACTTGAAACCAGAGGAAGTACTCGTACCTTGTATTCTACCTTATTTCCAGTTACTTCTACCCTTTTCAAGTTACTTCTACATTATTTCCAGCTATTTCTACCTTATTTCCAGTTACTTCTACCATGTTTCCAACTACTAGTCTACTAGCTAATGATAATCAAATTATTAGAAATAATCAGTTTAACATTAATTTAGTGAAAAAAGGTCTTTGATACATGACTCCCTCACGACTCAATCCCCTACCGTCCAGTCTATATGCGCCGTCTTATACCATTACACCACCGAGTTTCTGATGCGATTCCTCGGAAGATAA